GCGTCACATCAAGGGGCTGCAGGATGTGCTACAACGATAATGAATGGATTGTGAAGACTAGACATGCTCGATGCCCACCACCACAGAGCAGGGAGGCAGAATAAGATTTGCCTGATTGTATCCAAGGTGCCGACCGGCTGAACTCCCCCCGTTCACACAACTTCACAGCCTATTATTCCGGAATGCACCCAGACAGAGTGGAATCTCAAAGAGGTCTCCCTTCTATGCTCGCAAGTGGTGAAGAGGCGACAGGGGGTAGATGAGATGAGCCTATTATCCCGGAATGCACACAGACAGAGTGGAATCTCAAAGAGGCGAAAAACACCATCGCCACGGAAGGGCACTTCTGTACTTCAACAATATCAGTATTGCTAAAGGGTGGACACTGCACATTGAATAGCCAATCGAGACTGCGATCTCCATTTGTAAATGATGACCGTGCACTTTAATAGTCCGGACCGTCCGGTGGGTTAAACTGGGTTTATTAAATATTACATTGTTGTTAATCCCTTGGAAGCAGTCAACGATTTCTGGGACTGGGATTAGGAAAGAAAAAAAAAGACATTTTGATCCCCACGCCTCCAATATCTGAACTGAAAAGAAAAATGAAAAATGAAACAGAAAATAAAAAGAACTCTGGCAACAACGCGTCCAGAAAATAAAAAGGAACTCTGACAAAGATAGATGAATGTGAAACTTGTGAATGGATGAAAGGGAGCGGGAGGGTGGGGGGGGGGGGGGGGGGGGGGGGGAGGGGGGGGGAGAGAGGGAGGGAGAGGGAGGGGGGGGGGGGGGGGGGGGGGGGGGGGGGGGGGGGGGGGGGGGGGGGGGGGGGGGGGGGGGAGGAGAAAAAGGAACGTTATACCACCAGTACCTATCGGTTGGGGCAGCTGTTAACGCGCGGAAGCCGAATCGGCCTGCCCCTCCCGTCCAAATTCATTCAAGGCCGGGGGGTACGAAAAAAATGCGGTAGTTACTGGTGGTTTCAAACATGGCCCGTGACTTACAACAAATCCAAGGAGCGATCCCCTTGGCATGGATCCGAACTCTTAAAGCGGGCCCCCGCCTCGCTCGCGGTGACTGGGTGGTAAAGACAGACTCCCTGCTCCTCCCGATGGTACTGTACAATGTGCAAAATACCAGAGACCACCAGGCTTCATTGCAGGCCTACTGCCCGACCATGCCAGGGGCCAGATGGTCACCACTGCAGCGCCAAGAGGATTTAGACACACAGCTTCCCGCGTCCTATCTCACTACAATCAGAGTGGTGGGGTGTCAAAAACAGGGCTTTTTCCAATATGAGCCTTCCACCCCACTGCACTGCCTCCCATTCGACCCATTAGAGTGGGAATGGAAATGGGGGGGGTCCCRGTCGATGGCTCTGCACCAATACACAGTGAGGAAGGGCTACAGAGCAGCGCGCAAACCACTTAGACCCCTCSACCAAATAATCAAACGATGGGAGCGAGACTCTCCCCTGAAAGCTCAGGACTTTGGCCTCTTCAGGTGGTCCGCTTTTTCCCACATCCGACCGACCAGCCACAGAGCCCTTCAGTGGCAAATTATTCACAGATGTCTCCCTACCCCGGACTGGGTTACATCACGCACGGACCTGGAGGAGAAAGGACTGCTGTCCCCACTCTGCTCGTACTGCTCCCACACGCTGCCCAACAGAAGAGCCACTTTAGAGCACYGCCTACTGGACTGCCCTATGGTGCTCCAAGYATGGAGATGGTGGGATGCAGCGTGGCACTATTTTACAGGTCGCCACTTCCCATGGGAAGTGACCACTCTCCTGCTGGGAACCGTCCCAGCAGGGGAGGGGRAGTGGWCCCCGTTCATGTCTAACCTATTTGCCTACTCCAGACTGGCCGTACTTATGACAGCCTGGAGAATGCGCTGCTCGTACGAGAGGAAACAACACAACTATGGATACATGCAAGCTCGATCAACAATAACTGACACAATTACTGCCTACACCCATGCGGCGCACAAAGTTCTGCTCAACCAGATGGCAGAMGAACYGGACACTGTCAAGAGACAGAGACTTCGGACTACCTTCGAAGAGACATGGACTGACCCAAACCAGAGACTCTGCAGTCTCAACACCGACAACACACTCACATGGCATCCCTGGCTTCAGACAGAAACAGAATGGGAACGACTGCCAACACAGCACTTCCAAGTCGTCCAACAACCGACAAACTTTATCCTCATCTATGACTGACAAACTACCGCCACTTCAAACTGCTGCTCCCCCCCCTCCTCCTCCCCTTTCCCCCACCCCCCCCTCACCTCAAGCCCGGTTACCCATCCGCCACCCGACTCCCCTCTCCTCACTCACTTACCCGGCCAGGGACAGTCTTTCTCTCCGCCCTCTACAGGAGGGCGTCCAGAATCTATAGAAGCCGTGGTGGTTACAGCCTTTGATCTGCGTCACCTTGCAACACACAATTAACAAATCACAATCGGGTCTGAGGCCCGTATCAGGTGGTTTCTCCACAAACGGGGCGTGGTGCCCCCATTTCGGTTACCTTCCACCTTATCACAAGCATACCTATGTACATTATCTATATTCAGTGATTTCTCGCAATTGTAAAAAAAGGGATGCTGGGCCCGATTCCCAGCAGGTGCTGCTCCCCACCAATAGATGGAGCCTACACTGGCCCAGCTTGAGGTGACTGCTCCTACCAGCACCCCAAGCTGAATCCGACGTGGTTTAAAAAAAAAAAAAAAAAAAAAAAAAAGAATCAGAATGTACACAGTGGAAAGGAGGAGCTTGCATACTCTGACGAGGGACATAGCCGGTGACATCATTTGTGTCCAGTCCGTGTTGTTTCTTGTGTGAGCTGCAACCAGCTTGTTGATTGGGATACGGACTCGTTTTGGCCACATATGTTGGCCACAACCAGACTCGTTTTGCCCGCACATGTTGGCCACATCCAGACTCGTTTTGGCCACACCTGTTCGACACATCCGGACACATTATGGCCACACATGTTGGCCACATAACGGACTCATTTGGCCACACCAGGACTCGTTTTGGTCACACATTTCGATCAACATAGCCATTGACATCATTTTGCTCACCAAAATGATCCGCATCCCACTCAACCTCATTTGCGTCTAGTTTTTCTGTGGCCAAAATGACTTGTCTCTCATTCAACTACAGACAGGTTGAGGGTATGGACGCCAGATTGAGGATGGCATGGACAGATGGACAGGAGTGAGACGATGAGGCGTACGCAGAGAGAGAGAGAGAGAGGGAGAGAGAGAGAGAGAGAGAGAGAGAGAGAGAGAGAGAGAGAGAGAGAGAGAGAGAGAGAGAGAGAGCTCACATCATGACGCGCCTTCCGCGGAGACTTTCCTCATTAGCATCAAGCCACGTCGGCAGATCGCTGAACTGGCGAATCTGAGGGTCTACAAACTGCACCCCGGGAGGCGGCACGAACCTCCCGATCCGCGTTTCGTAGATGTTACGCACATCCAATACCACGGTCTCCTTCGAGTCACGCTGCTCGACAATTGCATTCCCACCTGCACCTGCAGCTGGCAATCCTCTCTCAGGGGAGGCGGAACTCTCGCACGTCGTACATGACGACGCTCCACCATGGTTCACTGACGTCCCATTCTCGTCATGGGCCACTGACCCATGCAACCTTCTCCACTCATTCTCGCCAAGTTCCGAGTCATCAGGCGGTGGTGATGACATGGCACGACAGAGTTTAGGCTGGTCAAAAACTACTGCTGACTCATCATACTCTTCATCTCCATTGCGCAGAATAGAAGCAGGGTGGCACTCGAAATCCCCTTGAAGCAGACCTGTGTCGGCACGTGTCCCCTTCAGGGCACTTGATCCTTGACGTTCCAGCTGTGGCAGCGTAGCATTAATGACAGATGGGCAGCATTGTTCATCGTCCTTTGTTTTCTCCGTGGACAGGGAGGAACAATGGCCATCATCAACGGTGACCGTGCTGCCGCCGTCCATGTGTGCACTTGAAGAAGCAGCATCCTCGAGCATCTTCTGAAATTCCTCAGGTGATAATGGAATTCCTGAGTTTTTAAGATCTGCTTCTTCCTCAATTTGACCGAGTCCTAGAGTCACAAGCTCCTGCAACAAGATTGTGTGCGCAACGGAAAACGCATGACTTGTACAACAATTCTTTTCCGCTTATTTTTTCCGCTTATTTTTTCCGCTTTTCCCTGCGCTTTTTAGTTTTCTTTCAAAAAAAAAAAAAAAAAAAGAACGTTCTTTCTTTCTTTGTTTGTCTTCTCTTTGCCTGCGTTGTTTTAGACGCAGCTGTGCAAAAGCCATGCATGGGTAGGTTGAAGCGAGAGTCCTAACTTTTCAATGATGTTGGGGACGCCGGACCCGTTTTCCGGCCCGTGTAATTCAAAAGTCACCGTCGTATGAAGCAGGCCAGAGTGCCAAGAGAGAGAGAGAGAGAGAGAGAGAGAGAGAGAGAGAGAGAGAGAGAGAGAGAGAGGGGGGGTGTGCGTCTCTTATTTAGCGGGAGATATGGATAGGGACTCTTCCATATACATCCGGAGTCCGGACTGACTGATC